GAATTGATATGAAGCACCCAAAAAAATTCTGGAAATTTCCTTGCAAAGTCGGTGATGCTCTTTCAATCCCATCCCAAATCCATGATCATCAATTAGTATTCCTCACACAGCTAACCATGCTAGAATACAATATAGAACTCAAATAAACCAAAGAGATACGAAGAAAACATCAGATTTCCTTGTCATTATCCAATGTCAGTCTTTGTCCAATTTTATGTCATATTTTGTCACAACAAGCAGCTAAACAAATGAATGTGGTATTAAGGGAAAAAAAATGAAAAGAAGAAAAAAAAGACACTTTACCTATGAAACTCAATGTAGCGTGTGAAACAATGTCGAGTTTGGTTGGTTGTTGGGAATCGAAAATCAGCTGGTGCAGTTTTCAGTTCAATCTGATAACGAAGTTGAAACAGGGGAAAACAAAAATCCTTAATGATAACGAAGTTGAAACAGGGGAAAACAAAAATCCTTAATGAGAAGGAGCCCAAACAATTCCAACATTAATTGTTCTGTGATTTAACATCTAATACCAACCCTAAATCAAACGCAATTGAACAAGACCGAGATAAAAAAGAAGGGGGCGAATTCATGAAACAAACCAGTGAAGTTAGAGACAAAAATATGTGAAATAAAACAAATGAATGTCCAACATCCAGCAATAAATAAAACACGAAAGGATCAGTAGTAATTTAACCATCTAAAAAAATTCATTAATCCACTGAAAGGAGAGAATAAAATAATACAGAACAATATGCTTTGAAACATTTACAGATCATGTCAATTCGGGAACCCCAGAGATTTGAAATGAAAAGTCTAGACGCAGCAGACAATGAAAAACAATGGAAATTAAAATATGAAAATTTTTGTAGGGATTTTTACCTCGGCCATTGAAGATGTAAATCGATAAGAGTAAGCCCTTCGAATCACTAAAAGTTCGATTCTTTTGAGGGGTAACTTATGTGTTTGTTTGGGAATTTAACCAGAAAAGTAAGGAGTGTCAATTGTTGAGTTAATTGTTTCAACACTAACTGAAGTTTATAAAGTGTCACATTCCAATGACCGAACTTTAAATTGCATCCTATCACTCACTCAACTTTGTAAACTTGCACTCCATCCCTCACCGGGTCAATTCCATCCATAACGTTTGCTTACGTGGACAACGATTTTCACACATGGCCGTTAAAATACTTAACTGTGCCATGTCATGAACAGAATTTAACACCCAAACACACACCTCACCCATGTGAATTACTTCGCGTGCACAGCCAAAATATCAAGAAACATTTTGATCAAAGCAACAAACTCATAATCTGAAATAGAATTAACATTAGAAAGACCCCAAATTATAAGCCAGAATTAACAAAGGCAACACGGAGAAGATTCAGTTTGCTCCCAAAAAAGGTTGAGCCTTCTTCTTCAGGCTCTTTGCAGCAGCCCAAGCCTGCTTTAGGAACACCTTCTTCTACAATGACTCACAGAATAAGCAAGCACTTGCTAGTGTGTCAGGTCCCATCAATGTGGAGATTGAAACGTCCAATACGTCAACACTTGATTCTGTTCCTAATGCTGCTTCTGCTCGACAGCAATTCTACAAATGCTTTTGATTTAATTGTTGGAAAAATTGGAAAAACAAAGGCTGACTTTGGCACTATTTTTGAGCGAGACCCGCTTAGCTATTTTGAAAGATGAAAGTTGAT